TGTTTTTTTACCCAAATCTGTACTTTTATATGAAACCCTAATTAATAGTCATAGTTCCCAAGTCAAATACTTCTGCGGGGGCTCTCAGTTTTCACCTGTGTTTCTAAAAAGGAGCCGATGACTATTCTTCCAAGCCCGTAAGGAGGGGATTGAGACCTTCAAAGTTAGTATAATCTGAAATATAAAACACCTAAGGAAGAATGAGAGCCTTCAGTATCCAAAACTGCTTCTTGTTGTCTATATACAACTCCATGACTTTGACTTTTCTTTCTCATTTTACAACTTATAGATTACCAGTATGTGTATGCAATGAGTACAACTTGCCTCTTTGTGTGAGTATGTGTGTTTCTTTTAATTCCACAGATTACTATACATCCAGGTCTGAATAGGCCCACTTTTCTAAACAATAAACCAACTCAACTAACTGACTGTTTTGTGGTAAATCCAGCAAATTCCCTCTAGGACCTTCAATGCCCATCAGAAACACCATAGTAGGGGATGTCTGGCTTACTAGGCCCTGTTTCCCACTATTTCCCTTGGGTTTTGTACCAGTTCAACCTCAAGCCTTTGGTCCTGTGTAGTGGAAGTTTTTGTTTGTTTGTTTTTAACTCAGTTATGTTATATAAATATGTTTTTGTTTTAATCCCAAGTGTGGAATATGGGACTGCCTTAGTTTATCCACAGCTGATAACAACCTGTGTGGCTCGGAGAGGCGCATGGTTTTTGCCAGCTGGAGATGGTTTAACTCTGAGAACTCTGAGAAGATATAAAGGCCATAGTTGAGGGAGGCTTCAGAGAGGACTCGGGAAAGAAAAATGGACAATTCATGGGACACACTGGGATGGGGAGAGGGGTTAGAGGAGACAGTGAAAGAAGGAAAAAGGCTGCTGCTGAATATCCTGATGACTGAGATTGGTGTTGCTCCAAAGAACCTAACAACTCTAATCAACCAGAACTAAATCTTAAGAGACCTACATCCCCTTTCTCTTCCTCCCTTCTTTCCCTCCACCCTAGGGCAGGGGAGCTGGAAGGGAGGTAGAGGCTAAAGGAATCCCGAATAAAATGGAGTTAAAAGATAGCGCCTAGATTCCTGCATGAACCAAATGTCCCCTTGTCTAGAGATCATGTACAAACAGGACAAGAGAGTCACTCTTTGTTATTCATTCACTCAACATGTGGGTTTGAGGTGCCTATTATGGATGAGCGGAGCTCCTGGGATGAGGTGCTCAATAATACTGTCAGGGCTTTATGGAAAAGGTAGATGTGTCTTAGCCCACCACTGTTCTAGTGAGGAACCCCACACAAATGCTGTCTCTCACATTTCATCCAAAATTAACCTTCAGGTCCATCAAGGCTTGTCTACACCTACGATCTGTCCTAAATCCTACCTCTGGGCACTCATGCCTTCTCTTGTATGACACCAGCTCTGTTTAACTGTGAATTGTGGAAAACCAAAAATATTCACTCAAAATAACAGGACTGATTTCCAGGGTCAGAGTCAGCTTCCTTCTATGGAGACACTAATTCTGGCCCTATGTGATAATTTTAGCTCTGATACAATGCGAGAACAGACTTCCATGCCTCATCAACACGGATCACTCATTCATACATTCTCTCCTCCATTTCTAAACTCACAGCCATAAAAACCAATGGCCTTGGCCATTACCTTATTTCTAAACGCCAGCATAGATAAGCATCCCTTTTACCTGTGCTTAACTATTCCTCTCTTTCCCTCTCTCTCTCCCTCTCTCTCTCTCTCTGTGTTTAACAGTCTTTAACTCTGATTTGTAGTTTTCACTTTTAGCCTTTCAAATGCATGTGAATGGTGATATTATCAAGGAGGGAATTTCATAAATAAGCAGGGCCAAACTTAGTTAAGTGTAAATGCTTCACAGTCCTCAGCATGGTTTGTCCCAAAAGATGAGAGTAGGGACTCCAGTCCAGGGGAGAAGTCAGGTGTTCATCTTCCTGGAGATTGATTAGATGAAGACAAAAGTCATGGAAGAAAGATTTACAAAGACTTTGAACATGAGAATGGCCAGCAGAGCAATAGCTCTGAAGACATCCAGAAATAAGAGAAGGGCATAAAGAAATATATCAGAAAGAGAGCTGGGCCACATATGGCAGGTCCTGAGGTCAAGAAGCAGGCAGGAGAGGATCCTGGGAAGACCAGCTTCTGTTGTAACATCTGAGTCCTGGCAGCACATCTTTTGTGCACTGAGACTGAATTACTTCTTTAATGCCTGTTTTCATCTTGGCACAAGAGTAGGCTGACATAATGAAACGGATATCTGAAGCAGCATTTGGAGTAAAATTATGCAGTTCCTACTGCGATGTTTGGTAGACACTGAACTCTGATTCTGCTGTTCCTACGTGTAGTGTTGTTCAACTTAACAACTTAGGGCATGGACACTATAAAATAGGACTAACAGCACCCACCTCACAGGAGTCCTGTGGGAACTGACAAAAGCTAAGCATTCAGCGACAGTTACCTTCCTTTCTACAAGTGCATTGTCTTTTTGAAAAGATCAGTGTCAGAAGATGAACAACATGGTGAATTGGAAGAACAAGTGAAAGCTAAAAAGAGAATGGGCCCTTAAAAACTTGGAAACTGTTACCTACTATATATCAGATCTTTGGGATACTTAAAATCCTACATGCTTTAGGTCAGCTAACCAACAGAACTCTCCCTAAAACAATGTTTCAGAATGTTCCACAGCAATGTTACCCAATACAGCAATTTCTGGCTGTAGATGGCCATTGTGCAGTTGGAATGATGTCACATGAGAAACTGGGAGGAATAAGTGAATACAAGAACTTCAGTAGGTGTTGTGATTAATTACCTCATAATGAAACACCACGTTCACTCCTAGGCCTCATCACTTTGTACTGTCGTAATACCAGTGTCTAGTTTTAGATGATGCTCAGTACTTCTAGACTCTCATGTAGGAAGTATGGAAAGGAGGAAAGGAAAAGAGGGGGGAAGTATTTATCAAGAAGGAAAGGAGAACAATGAAAGAAATAGGCAGTCCTCTTTCCTTCCAAGGCTGAAATGAGTTGCTAAAATGAAAGTCTTTAAAACAAAAATAATTTCAATGCAGAGAAATTTGTGGAACGAAGTTAGATCCTGGTGCACTGAGGGACATACTTCTAAATAACTCTGAAGGAGTTTGAGAGCTCGGAAAGAACCAAAAGTGGCATATAGAACGGGGCTGGGGCTTTTCTAGATTCCACCCCCGATGTTGTGAACACAGTCCTGTGGAGAGTGTTTAAACCAGCATCCTGCTGTGACTCTTTTGTCCATGTCACAGTGCCATGTACAAGGGACCAGCAGGAGGAATGCTCCATCGTGCACTCCTGAACCCCCTTTTTCATGCCTTCTACAGTCACCGGTTCCCCCATACACACACAATAAAGCAGTGTTGGGCACATTTTCATTAACTGTTTATTCATTATAAATAGTAAATATTTACTGCACTTTTTTACATGAAAGACATTTTTACAACATATCATTGTTGGCTGAGGCTGCAACACAAAGATACTATGTCTCCTGTTCCATCACCCTTGCCCAACATATAAAATAACTCAGTTCTATGTCTAGTCCCACTAATGCGCTACCTCATTGTTCTTAAGTCTAAAGGGAATGTATTTGTGCCTACCTCATTCATGGTTCCAAGAATAGAAAGAAATAAATAACAGCACCTCCCGCCTCCTTCCTCTTAACATTTCAAAACACAGATTTATTGACATCCTAAATGTCACCACATAAATGCATGTAAACCTCTGTTCCCTATCATCCTTTAATATTGGGTATCATTGTATAATTTAAAAGTACACGAGAGCCACGTGGACATTTCTGTTCTTGCCCTGCCTTTCGTAGAAAAGAGACGAATGTAAACGTCATCGCTGTAGAAAGCATGATTCTCGGACATGGTCTCTGAGCAAGCAGGGCATTTAGGTTGTTTGGCAAAGAGCAAACATCATTGCATTCTACCGCCGATGAATTATGGGCTGCAAAAATAAAAACACCTGCAAAAATATAGTTCTGATTTCATTTCTAGCACCTTGGCCATGGCCAAAGTGTCTGTGAGGTACATGGTATTGCACGCTGAGAAGCAGATATGTGATGGTGTCACGTCTTCTCCATCATGCCCCTCCCCCAGCCCAGACTGGCTTCTAAATCAATGTGACTCAGGAAGTAAATGCCATCCATCTATCCCCACAGCAGAAAACATGCCTTTTCTTGTTATCCCACATCCTTTCACAAGACATGTCTGGGATATTGGTTGACAACTAGATTACAAATAAGGGTATGATGATAATTTAGTGGGGAGATCCTTCACATCTAGTCTAGCATCCTACAAAATGGTGGTGTCAATCTTCATATCAGTTTCCAGTGTGTCAAAGTCAAGGATTCCTCCATTTCCAATTCATTTCATAAGCAGTGTGAATGTCATGAACTTGGTCAGCCTTGGACATCAAACCTGTTTACTTTCAAGAATTCAACTATGAACTATGGGAACATTCTGCTCACTCAAACCAGTCCATGATACACTCTTTCTCTCTCTTACACACACACACACACACACACACACACACACACACACACATGCACACACACACACACAAATGGAATGTTTTAGTTCTTGATCGACAACAAAGAGTTGGGGACATTTTGATATGTAATCAGGTTACATCACTGCCTTAAAATGGTGTGATTTATATCTCTGGGTCTTCCTTGCCTCTCCTGCTTTTTGTCCAATATGTTCAAAGAATCTGAAAGCAACTACTGGAGAAAGAAAATCAATCACTTGCTTTTGTCTCTACCTTCCCCAAAGGCTGATTTTTTTTTAATTTTTATTTATTTATTTTTGTTTGTTTTTTTGTTTTGTTCTGTTTTTTGTTTTTTGTTTTGTTTTTTTTTTTTCTGAGAAGATTCTTCATGTCTAGTCTGTGGAGGCCGGAAACAGGGCCAGTTTAGCTCCAAGTGGACAGTTCACTTACGCAATATCTGGCTTGAGAAAATGAAAGGCACCTGTAAGGAAACACACGCAGCTTTTTAGGTCACGCTGGGACAATTCACAGTTAGGGGCAAGATCAGCTACAGGCTGACAACGTCATATCTAATACCACGGTATCAAAGGATCGAGACTAATATTTTTATTCCTGAGACAAGTTTGACACAACTCTGTGTCCCGGGCTTATCCCCATATGATCCTGGCGCTGACCTCATTAAGAACATGTGTTTCTAATGCCAGAGGTTATTTCATTTTGGCCAACCTCTGTGTTTTACCTACTGACAATCCGGTTTTATGTCCCAACAATTAATAACTGCAAGATGTTATTGACATCGGTTAAGAAAATAATTACACAAGGAAGCCTGTGCTGTAGCAATCAGCTGGCTTTGCCACAAAACTGATACTGGGATGAAAGGCTTAATCATGCCTCCAGGTCCCCTTTCTCAGACAAGAGGTGATCTCTCTCCCTTCTAGGAGGAACTACCCCCTAGAACGTCCAAGGCTTACTTTGTCCATATTGCCCATACTGGTAGCCTGTGACAGGGTCCATACTGTAGCCCGTGGTACTATAGGTGGGAGGACAATAGGGCTGAGATGTGGGCAGACTGTCCACACTCTTCATATGTTCCAGTCTCTGACTGCAGCTGGCTGACACCGTGGTCGTGGGTTCCAGGCCTCCAGTGAGAGGAGAGAGAGCATAGTCGGTCTGAGGCTGGTGTGGTACCCCACCGTGGTTGGTCAGAAGTCCCATTACCTGCAATAAGAGGCAGATTGGAAGAGGTTAGAAGTGGGCAGAAACAGACGGCATCCCAGAACCAGCGCAGGATCTTGAAAGGCCAACTTTTATGTCTATAGAAATCTGTTGAGGAGCAGTTTTGAAGGCTTTGACCCCGATTCAAAGTGGCAGCCACATGACCTCACCCAAAGATAACATCTGACTGCAGTTTCAGCCAAAGGAAGGGGAGGGAGAAGGAAAAGAAGGAAGGAGAGGAGGAAGACAGAGAAGGAGAGATTATGCCATGTCCGTTGTGATAACATCAGACTGGAATTTCAAAGAAAAGTAAAGAAGCGACAGAAAGAGGGAGACGTTATATCAGTCTATAGAGAAAAATGTTTAATATAGTACATCTGGACACTCAAGTGATTGTACGTGTGTGTGTGTGTGTGTGTGTGTGTGTGTGTGTGTGTGTG